CAACAAGAACTTTGGAAGCTGGGGTAAACATCCCTGGTTGGCAATGCTCTGCGTGTCGTCACACACCATACCCCAGAAGAGGCACCACCATCCAGCACTACTTGGGGAGATGACTGGAAATTTTGTGTTTGGATTTCTTCCAAACTTCACCTGTACATCCCTTATTTTGGCTGGTTCTGATGTATATCTTTTTGCTATGATAAAACTGTAAGAGTAAGCTGAAAAAAAAAATAGTGGTCCCAAAGAGAACATAAAAGAATATATGTCAAGTTTGTTACTTTGAATAGCTTACTGTGGAATGGGGTCTTTGAGGCTGAAGTACTATAATCTTTCAGGTCTCTTTTGCTAGCTTTACCTCCCATCCAAAGACTATAAAACCAGGAAACTGGGGCAACATTTTATTTTATTTTTTCATTAATTAAATTTATTTATTTATATACATTTTACAGCATTTTATTCAGAACGACAAGGTGAGGGGAAGGAAGTGGGTCCTACAGTATTCTGGAAATTGACTTTTCTCTCGGCAATAGTCACATGACCACCATTTAAGAATTGGGAGCTTAGAGTCCTTCTTTATATCTTATTAGACTTTAGCTGAACTGGGAAATTCCATTTTTATTACATGAGACTTAGGAACATAGAACAATGAAAGCCCTTCTTAAATATAACACTACATGTGGGAATCAAGAGTACTTGGTTTGGAAAAGATATCTTGTATCTCTGGCTGAAATGCTGTCTTTCTATCTGGGTCTGATAGCATCAGAGAGCCAAATATTCTATTAATACTAATGGTCTTAAGACATTTTGGGGTGAGAGGAGGCAGCAGTCATGGGGAAACTTCAGACCAGGGGAACTTTTATTTGGTTCAGTGATATCTACTCCCTTGAATTTACTGTGTTGATGACTAGAGAGAAAACCAGAAACCAAACTCCCAAGAGGAAGAAGCCGAGGAGAAGTGATAGAATTCATTTCCAGATGTGCTGAAATGCCTCCGATACAAGGAAGCAACTGCTACTGTGAACTATGTCAGACATTTGCAGAACCTCTGAAGAACTTGTGGAAAACTTTAGAAGAGATTTGTGTTACCTGTTTTTGATTCAAGACTATGGTTCAATGGGACACAGATTCACAAACCTGTGTTAGGTCACACAAATGACCTAACAATATGGATGTTAGGGATACTGACCCTCCAATTTGAAAATCCAAGTATAACTTTTGATTCTCTTGAAACATAACTACTAATACACTGCTGTTAACCAGAAACCCTGCCGATAAACACAAGCTGTTGATTAACACATATATTGTTTTTTATATACATTATATTCTGTATTCTTACAATAAAGTAAACTAGAGAAAAATGTGCTACTAAGAAAATCATAAGAGGAAATACATTTATAGCACTGTATTTCTTATGTTCATGCTGTTTGAGTACAAGAAAATCATATAGGAGAGAACATAAGGACCCATGCTGTTCAAGAGTCAGGTGTACTTAGTTTATTTCACCAAAATTCTGGAAAAATCACTTTTTTTTTGCTACATATACTTGGCCTAAAAAAAAATAGGCAAAAATGGGCTTTCCTGTGCCCTCTCTGGTGGTGCAGTGGGTTAGGATGCAGCACTGTAAGTCCCCCACAGCAGCTTCAGTGAGAGTTTAATTCCCAGCCCTGGAGGTGATCCACATGGCTCAGCAGACCTCTCCTGTCTCACCTGCTGCTCCCCTCAGTAGTGTACCTCATCAATCTGCCTGTTCTGCTCCTCACTCTGTCTCTGGTGAATCCTCTCACCGACCCTACACTTCTGGCCTGTACCCCAGTTTTGTATGCATAAATAAATAATTTTTTTAAAAAGAGCTTTCCTGGTGGTCAAGGGCACACATCTAGCACTGTGAAACTATCCAAGTCTGATCTCAGGCCAGGGAGGTGACTCAACTCACAGCAGACCTCTCCTGTCTTATTCACTGCTCCCCTCAGCAGTGTATTTCAGTACATCTGACTTTTCAGCTCCCTACTCTATCTCTGGTGAATCCTATAACCATTCTGCACCTCTGGCCTATACCCCAGTTCTTATATGCATAAATAACTAAATCTTTTTAAAAAATTAAGGAAAATCTACAAATAGTGTGGAAAAATTGGGCCTACCATCACATATCCTCCTATGAGTATTCAGGAATCCCTGCATTTTTCCCTCCATACTTGACACACAGTGTTTTAAAAATCTGTTTACTGACCTGTCTTCTCAAGAATCTTTAAACTGGGGGGCTGTGTTCTGCTCATCACTGTATTCCCTCTGCTTATCATAGTGGAGATGACCAATCCTATTTACTTCTCCCTTGCCAAAATTAAGCCTACTTCTTTAAGTGGGAGGGGATGAGTGACTATATTTCAGAACATGCAAAAAACAAATGATTACTTCATTTAATGATGAGATGGGACCAATGACAAAAATTGTTTGCCTGTAGCTTTTTCTGTACTGCTAGGTCAAATAGACCAATCTGTTAAGTGATATTAAAAATTGGGAGTTTAGAACTTAGTTAATTATATCTTGAACAAGGCTCAGAAAACCTATTGAGAGTACTTTGTTTAATTACAGGCAACAATTTTATTGACCCGGTCATTTAAAATTCTACCCACTGAACATGGTCATGAAAATAATGTAGACCCAATTATTTTTTAGTGTCTATGAGCTATGGATTCAGAGTTGCTATAAAGAGAGATAGGCAAAGTAGTTGGATATCATGGGATATTGCAGGCCTGGAAATAACACCATACCTCAGTTGCTGCAGTGTTACATATTATAGACAACAGAAGACAACCCACTACACAAGACACATTCTTCCCCAGGGAAAAGAAATACATTAGGCCTTAGAAGATGGAGGGCATGCAACACTTAACTTCTGATAAACTGTACTGAAAGATATCTAAAAAATTATATGAGATTTACAATTGTCTTGAAACAAAGAGAAATCAATCCAACTCATTGTATGTATACAAATTCTGAAGGACATTTCCAATTAAGGAAGAGATTTAAGTTCCTCAACATATTTTGATTTGAAGGTCATTAAAAATAAATTATATAAAACCGTACTAACCACAAAGCTGAAAAATAAATGTGACCAGAAGAAATTTTTGACAACATCATTCAGTGTCCATATGAGACATCTCCAAATATCTAAAGATTTTTACTAGGAAAAAGACAATAGGGTATGAACTTGTCTGAGCACTGAACAGGTACTTGTGGTTTTCAGCCTAAACAACTACTAACATTTTTTGAGTATTTATTATGCCCCATGTATTGTTTCAGTGCCTTATCGGTATCGTCTAATTTTCATGCACTGGTTATTACCCCACTTTATGGCAGAGGAAAGTAATGTAGAGAGGTGAGGGGACCGTGTAGGTCCATGAGCGGAAGGAGGGTGCCTCTAGAGCCCCAGGAGCACCAAAGGTAGGACAGGTAGAACCACCACCTGTGCCATACTCCATACCAACTTTCAGAGTTAGGAGAAAGCACCTGAAGAAAGAGTTTGGTATCTTATCTTTTGCTGTTCACAATCAAGGACTCTCTTTTGCTTTAGTAACTCAAGTTGAAGGTGGAAATTTTTCTAGACCACAATATGTAATTACAACTAAAGACACATGTCCGTCACAAAACATATATTATGAGTTGCACACGCTAAAAGCAAGCACGCCTAATTAGGGCATTAGTCATAATGATCAGGGAGTGTGACCCAGGAAATTACAGGTAGTGGGTGCCTCAGCTGCAAGAAAATTTCATCAACTTGCTCAGATAAGGTCTTTGCTGACTCATTTACACCTGTTGATGCATGTATGGAAAATGGCATCTGATAAAGTTGGATAGTGAAAATAAGCCTGTACTTGTGAGTTCAGATAAAGTGATGTTCCAATATGAGAGGTAGGACTGTTGGTCTTTTAATTATATTAGCCAGGTAGCTGATATATTAAAAAAAGTTGACAACATTCAAAAATAGTTATTTCTTCCATAGTCATATACAATGGCCATCATGAAAACTTGCATGTAAGTTAAGAACAGAAGGAAGTACATGTTCCGACCTTACTGAAAATAAGTTATTTTCAAGGTGTTTAAAAGAAGAAAGAACAACGATAAAGATGGTGAGTTCTAATATATTATTTTTTTATCTGTGTGCAAAACCACCAGTCACAGCACAAATAGAAAGCCAGTTTCTAATACTGTCGAGATTGAGAAAGAGAGTAAATTAGGTCTCTCAATTCAAAGTGAATTTCAGAGGGAATATTTTCTGATTGAAAAATTCATTGCTTCACACCTAGTCCAATCACAGATCAAATTCACAGCCAAACAAAGGATCACTGTTGGTTCCTTGAGGAAACTCCATCTTTGGAAAACTCAGAGCTTGAACCATTTTTCCAAACATTTCTGTCCTCAAACATCAACTCTTAAAGTGTATCTATTTCCTGAACAAAGTGGTTCTTAACTGGTTCAGTAATTGCACACTGAGTTGAATGACAGGGATCACACACACACACATGCGCGCGCACACACACAGACACAGAAATGTACACACAGCACAGAGAATATACATAAAATATACACACATACACATATACATACATGTGATTATTTTCATTTTTGTAAGTCTACCTTTGAGTCACTGTGGCTGAAAGACCAAGTATATACTTAAAGATTCTTTTGTAAATTAAAAACTATTTTTAGCCTGTCTTAAAAGAAGAAATTTTAATTGAGTGTGGAGAGCATGTGCACACCTTGGAGAATTGTTTGAGAATCACTACCTGGGTAGAATTTTATCAACTACTTAGATCTGAGATTCCAGAGGACAGTGGTTTTTTAATCTTACTAGAATTCTCAGCACTTTCAAATTATGTTCCTTACAAGAATGACTTCATTACAAGAAAGGAATGGTGAGTCTCAAGGCCATAAGCCCCACTGCTGCTGGAGTTGTCTTTGGTTCTGCAGGTCTGTCCTCAACCTAGTGGATTCTGACTCACCCTCCTTCTGAGCCGGTCCCGTTCCTCACGGATGGCATTCATGGTGGCCTTGGTCCTGTTCAGTTCCTCCTCTTTGCTGCACAGCATGGCTGTCAGACTCTCATTCTCTTCCCTCAGTCCTGCCAGCTCTTTCTCCCAATGAGAGCGCTCTTCAGCCAGGTTGGGGTAAAGGTCCCGGCCAAGGACCCCCTCGATCTCCTCAACAGTCTGCAAGACAGCCACAAAGACAAGTAGATTCATTTTGGAGAAAGAGGAGGGACACAAGCTAGGCCAGGAGTGAGAGTTCTCAAAAGAGGCGGCTCTACACACCTCCTTGCAAACAGTGCTTATGACTACCGACACCCAAAGTAATCCTTTATCCATTTTCACATGAGTCTCTGCCACCTTCCCGGGCTTCCTACTGGTCCATACAGTAAGCAAGATTCAGCCCCTTCCTCATGTGTAAGTCTGTCAGTGACACTAAATGCCATGTCTACAAAAATGTTAATCTCTTTTGTCCATGATCTAAGTTGGTAAACACATCACCAGGCAGCATACCAGCTAGTGATTCTGATAATGCAAACTGAATACAGAATTGCACTTGAAGTTTCTTAAATCATCGGCCTCCTGTGTTGTGACTCAGCAATACAGCAGATTTCATCACCTTTTCCAGCTTTTAGTTTCATATCACTGTCCAGAGGTTGTGAGTGAAGCTCTGTCCCACAGTGTGAGAGACAAAAATAAACCTCCATGACATAGAAACAAGGAAGTTCATTGTGGAGGTTTGTAAAGCTACCGGGATTTGCTTAATTAGTAAGACAGCTATAAACTACAATGAATAGAATCTTAACAGTACTTGGAGAATTCTTATGAATTCCTTTAAAACACAGTATCGATGGAGAAGAACATGCATACTGTTAGGAAAAAAGAACTTTTCCTGCTTGCTTTCAGAAACCATTCACAGTTATTGTTTTTCAGAAAAGGAAGCATAATTCAATTGACACTGAAGGAAGAAGCAGAGTTACTATAAAGTAGCAGAAGGCAGTGAAGTGATGTGACGAGAAACAGATTTCAAAAATGGATGTGGGCCTGTCACTTTTGGACAATCAAGTCGGTTTTCTTATAAAGACTGTTAATCAAATCTTGCTGCCACTTTCCAAACTCACTGCTTTGTCTTCCCCCTCAAATTAGATTGGTCTTCCTCAAGCTAGCAGAAGTATTTGGCCCTCTCTTTCCCTTTTAACACTGAGGTGAGGGCTACTAGCAAAGTTGACATTACAATTCAATAAAGAGCCTGGGAGACTGAAGAAGGAAACCCTAGGACTTGCTTCCTCAAACCTCTATGTATTTATAATTGAGATGACTGAAGATGGAAGCCCAGTTGTGTTATAAATATAAATCATGGTTTTCCTCGTGATACCAAGCTCTTTTGTGAAATGTAGGGTGCTTGTTGATGGAAACAGGCCTAGAATTCTAGGACATTTTTCAAATAACACTTCACATTTTCCCCGACAGTGGCTATTTTCAGTTTGGATCACTATATCTAGGTCACTAAATATGGTGAATGAAGTAATACTTGAGGCCCAGGATCAACAGGACTTCACTCTCATTGTTCCCAGGTTTGTGCAGATGCAGCCATATGATCTGACTTGGGCCTTATCCTGCAGTAAGATGGATGCGCATGAAAACTACTGATTGCTTCTGTATGCTCGGGATGGATGACTTATTGAGACCTGAACCTCCCCTTTGTTAGCACCATGAATTGATAACTCCTGAAATAACACTCTAGCAGTCTTAAAGATTTCATAAAATTTACAACTCTTACAACTTAAAGGTGTGACATGATGAGCCACAGCAAAATCATGCAGATCAGTCAAAGGAGTCTGAGTTTACAAGGAAATTGTCAGTTTTGCTTCAAAGCCAGTAATTTTGATTGGTGATAAGATTTTTTTTTTCTAATGTAGTTCAGCTCCTCCCAAATTTACAGGGCTACTGCTTCTACCTGGTGGCCTGATCTCTAGTATAGCTCTTAGAAAATTTATGCCTAACAGACGTTTAACAAAAACATATCTAAAAGAGAACTTTGATCATTTTCCTTATATGCTTTCAAGGAGCCAGAGCACAGAGTGGGGAGGCTCTACCTTAATAGCCAAGTCACAGTGTTCACTGGCAGTGGTGAGCTGCTCGATGTGTCTGTCCACCTCGGCCACTGAAAGGCTGCAGCTGCTCTTCTTTCTGCAGCAGACGACATTCTCCAGCCCTGTCAGTACCCTCTGCAGTTCAGAGTTCAGGTCACTGCAGTTATCTGGGAATGAATGTGGACAAAACGAGTTAAGCAGGCAGGTGGGCAATGGATGTTCTTCATTTTGCTTACCAGCAGGAACACCTCTGGGTAAATGAAATGCTACTAGAGTCTGACAGCCCAAGTTTAACACCTTGCAGCCTAGTCTCATAAGTTGCCCATTCTGTCTCTGAGGCTTAGAGCCAATGTCAAGTTTTTACTAATGAGTTTCAAACAATGGTCATTTTCTAGCTCTAGCCATGCCTCACCGAATTCTTGATTTCTCTACTTTCACTATGCCTCAAGTTTCTTTAGGAAGGACAAAAGAGTGTCCCAGAAAAGTTTCATGAAAGCATTGACTCAGAAAGTCACAGTTAAACAGGTGTTACAACTTTAATATATAAACAAAATAAAATCTCCAAAGTGAGCAGACATTTGGAATTGAAAAAAAAAAACCACAAAAACATTGTAAGAGATAGCTTTTTGCCTTCAGTGAATTTAAAATCAGGACTTTTCTCCCTTATATGCCAATAACCCATTTCAATCTAAGCCAGGGGAAAAATAAACTGTTCTAACAAATTCCATAATGTTCTCCATGTAAGTGTCTTATAAGCAATTAAAATAATTTGATACATATTTTGAAATATAGGTTACTTTTCATTGCTGAACATCAAGGGTTTGGTCTGGGAAAGAAATTATCTTAATGTGAGATAGACATATCTTAGAAGATAATTTTACTGGAATTAAAAGTTAAATACAGATATCTCAATCAGCTGTTTGGGATTTTATGTGTCACAACATCATTCAAATCTAGTTAATATTAGTGTAGTTGTTAACTATGATATCTCTCAGAATATTCTATATCCAACATGATTTCTTCATTAAAGAAGTTCCATATCTTCAGTAGTTTCCCTTCTTCACTCCTTCTCTCTTCTTTCACTATGCACTAAAATGATCATTTGCTGTTAGAAGAACTTCAGGAACATTCAGCACTACAGTACAGAATATTTTGTTTAGCCTGATTTGGCTGTTTAGTATCAAATGCCACTAAGTCCAGTGAGAAAACAAAGATTCACTCCAAACAATGCACACAATATTTATTCCTCCTCTCAAAATTACTTCATTTCCATCTTTGCAAATGGTATTACCATCCACCTAGTTATTCAGGCCACTCTCAGAAATCTTGATTTCCTTCTGTCTTACAATCTAAACCCAATCCAACTTGTGACCACAAACTTTAAAACTTATTCCCAAAGTGACCTCTATTTACCATCTCCACAGACAACACTGAAGTCCCAACCACCTTCATTTCTCAACAGAGCTACTTAAACAACCTCTTACACTCCAGTTCCCACACTGTTACTCCCTCAGACCAAGCCCTCTAATGGCTTCATTCAACTAAAGTCCAAACTCCTTACCAGAGCCTATAAGACTCTGCATGATCAAAACTGCAGATGTTCTCAATTCAGGCTTCTCCCTGGAATTCCCCAGGCTTTTAGAAAACACTAGAGTCCAAGCTCCACCCCAGACCAATTAAACCACATTCTCTGTGGGAGGGGCTTGGACACTGGAAAATTTTAAGTTCTTCAACAATTCTCATGTGCAGTCAAGGTGAGAATCACTGATCTATCTGGTCCTTGCCTTGGCTGTTCACCTGGCCCCTCATTCACAAAGCTTTACTTACACTTCTGGCCTTCTCCCCACCTCTGGAGCATACCATTTACCTAGTTGTCCTAGGACTTTCTTTCCTTCTGTTGTTTCCTCTGCTGAGACTGATTTTCACTCGGGAGACAACATATTTTTAGCAATAGAGGCAGAAGGAATTCAGGTACATAGGACTTTATATGTAGTGTGAGTGAACATAACCACCATGCCTCAGTTTCAATATGCATATTTCACAGGTCTCTTCTTACCCTACCATCAATTAAAATTAAGCTAGCCCATAAAAGTACAAGGTGAAAGGAATTATCAGGAGAGGTAAGTCTTAGCATTTGGACTTCTAGTTATCTAATTTCCTATAAAGATGAAACAGGACTCAGAAGTAAACATGGAATGGACCTCTCTCTTGTATCAGAGGATGCAAACCTGTCACATGTAGCCAGAGGTGTGTTCTGTTTGGATGAAAAGGCTTGATATCTGCCAGTCTTCATTTTAAGTTTTAAAATTAAATGCCCACATTTAGAAATCATTACAAAGAATGCTCTTGTAAAATTAGAAGGCATTGTGCTTTCTACAGACCCAATTGCTTTCCTTACTCCAATACCTGGAATCTCTATCAGCCTTCAGTCCATGCCTTTTGCTGTTTTTTTTTTTTCTTTTTTTTTCTTCTTCTAAGTGTTACTTTTCTCAGTTAGGATTCTAATAGGAGCTGGAGAAAAGGCAATTATGGCTTTTCAAGTGAGAAACCAGAACCTGTGATTTTCATGTAGGTGGTTAAGGGAACACATAAATATTTTGGAAATCTGGAAAGGAGGCAAAATTCATGGCTATGAAAATTAAATCTAACCAGCATTCTTACTCAGTTAAACCACAGTCTGAGGCAAAGCTAGTAGTCAGGATCTACTCAGCCTATTCCCAGTTTGCACACAATTCAACCACAGCTGATACATTTCTAATCAGCTATTAAAGATTGCCAGTCATTTTTTTCTTATTTTTTTTATTAGTTTGTATATTTATTTACATTATTGTTCATTTTAGAACAATATTGAATTCTCCACACCCCCACTTCACCCAACTGTCACCACCAAATTCCCCCACATTTCTCCCTCTCTCCTTCCAATCCCACTCTGTAGGATATCTCTGGTTTATATCTGTCTGTTTATTTTTGTTTTGTTTTGTATTGTAGTAACAATACAGTATTCCCCCTATGTCTTACTTGGTTCTCTTACATTCCTCCTATAAGTGAAACTATTCAATATTTTTCTTTATCCTTATGACTTATTTCACTGAGCATGATCCCTTCTTGCTTCATCCGTGTTGCTGTGAATGGCATACGTTTATCTTTTTGATTGCTGAGTAGTATTCCATTATATATATACACCAGTTCTTGATCTAATCATTTAATTTTGGGCATTTGGGTTGTCTCCAGATTTTTCCTATTGTAAAAAGTGCTGCAATAAACAGGGGTGCATGTATCCTTTTGAATAAATGTTTTTGTGTTCTTTGGTTAGATCCCTAGAAGTGAAATTGCTGGGTCATATGGTAGCTACATTTTTAGTAGTCTGAGGAGTCTCTATACAGCTTTCCATCGTGGTTGTACCATTTTGTACTCCCACCAGCAATGTAGGAGTTTCTTTTTCACCACATCCTAGCCAACAGTTATTGTTAGATTTTTTGATATGTGCTGTTCTCACTGGTGTGAGTTGGAATCTCATTGTGGTTTTGATTTGCATTTCCCTGATTATAAGGGATGTTGAATATTTTTTCATGTCTGCTGGCCACTTGCAATTCCTCTTTGGAGAAGTGTCTTTTAAATTCTTCTGCCTATTTCTTGACTGCATTGTTTGCTTTTGTTTCTGTTGATTTTTGTGAGCTCTTTGTATATCTTTATGATCAGTCCCTTATCCATTTAAGGAGTGCAAAAATTTTCCCCAGTCAGTATGGTATCTCTTTGTCTTGGTTAATGTCTCTTTTGCAGTGCAGAAGCTTTTCAGTTTGATGTAGTCCCAGGCATTCATTTTTCCATTCATTTCCTTTGTTTTGGGTGATGAGTCTTTAAAGATGTTATTGAGATGTATGTCTTATAGTGCTTTACCCATAGTATCTTCTATATATTTTATGGTTTCAGGTCACATGCCCCAAATCTTTTATCCTCATGCATGGTGTGAGGTAGTGGTCTAGTTTCATTCTTTTGCTTATGTTGGTCCAGTTTTCCCAGCACCATTTGGAACAAACTGTCTTTGTTCCACTGTATATTCTTTGCTTCTGTGTCAAAGATTAATTGCCCACATATGTGTGAATTTATTTCTGGGCTTTACATTTAGTTCCATTGGTCTGTGTGTCTGTTTTTGTTCCAGAACCACACTGTTTAAATTATTATAGCTTTGTAGTATAGATTGAAGTTTGGGAGTGTGATATCTCCATTCTCTTTTGTTTTCAATAGTATATCCTTGGCTATTGTCTTTTTTCCATGCTTCCATATAAATGTTATCAGGTTTCATTCTATTTCTTTGAAGAATGTCATTGATATTTTTATTGGAATAGCACTGAATCTTTAAATTGCTTTTGGTAGGATGGACATTTTAATAATGCTAATCCTTCCAGTCCATGAGTAGTGGTTATTTTTTGATTTCCTGTGTCTGCTTTATTTCTTTTAATAGTATGTTATAATTTTCTTTGTAGAGATCTTTCACATCTTTTGTTAGATTTATTCCCAAGTATTTGATATTTTTGTTTCAGTTTTAAAAGTGTTAGTTTACTTCATTTCTTCTTCTTCAGATTTATTGTGTATAGGAATGCTACTGATTTTTGTGTGTTGTTTCTGTATCCTGCTACTTTGCTGAACTGGTTGGTTATTTTGAGTAGTTCTTCCATGGTTTTTATAGAGTTCTCTGTATATCATATCATCTGTAAATAGTGATAGTTTTACTTGTTCTTTTCATATTTGAACTCCTTGTATGACTTTCTCTTTTCTTATTGCAAGGACTTCCAGTATTATATTAAAAAGGAGGGATGAGAATGGGCATCCTTGTCTTGTTCCTGATTTTAATGGAAAGACCTTCAGCTTTTCACTGCTGAGAATAATATTGGCTGTGGTCTTTTATATATAGCTTTTATCTGGAAAGGCCTTTAGCTTTTCACCACTGAGAGTAATATTCGCTGTGGTCTGCTGTATATGGCTTTCATCTGGAATAGCCTTCAGCTTTTCACCATTGAGAATAATATTGGCTGTGGTTTGTTGTATATGACTGTTATCATCTTAAGTTATGTTCCTTCTATCCTTAGATTTTCAAGGCCTTCATCATTTATGGATGTTGGACTTTGTCAAAAACTTTATCAGCATATATTGATATGGTCATATGGTT